TAGTGTCCGACCGGTAGGTAAAAACAATTGTAAACGAAGCGTCGCAAAGTGATCGACACACGTCTATAGAGAACCTAGAGAAAATGTTTGAAAATGCGACTTTGTTATGAAAGACCTTTAAATAATTCGGCGTGCCTACTCGCGACGACGACGGGCGTTTGGTCGACATGGCGTCGCGAAAGCGTACCGAAACCGCCCCGTCGTCACCGAATCGTCGTGTAATGACGTGGGTCTCGACAACCGTCGTTCGGTGCGAAATGTCGAATTTTGCGAGTGAAACCCGACTTTCGGATGCGAAGTTTCCGTCGACGCCAGCTATGGCCTATGGGGTGGACGAACAACGATTGCCGTCGTTTCGCTTTCGGCGTGCCTATTCCCCATGTACCTAACACGTGGTTCGGACGAAATGCGTGTACGCGGTGCACAAAAATGACGTTTCGCGTAGGATACGCGTTTCGGACGTAAAGTTTCTTACGATTCGTGACGCGCGGACGTCGATTCCGCCGACCGACAGTGACGATCGGGTTCAACGAAAAAATCTTGTGGTGGCGCGGCGCGCACACGGCCTCGGCGGCCATATTTGTGCGAGACCGCCGCGAACTTATTGTTTCGGTGTTCCCGAAAAAAAAAAACAAAAGAACGTTGTCCGGCGGCGTTGCGCCTTTTCCGACGTGTCGGATCGTTGTTTATGCTTACGTGACGAAAAAGCGGCGATCCGTGGACAGATTTTCTCGACGGGAACGGCTTGACAGAATTTCAATCGCAGACGACGCGGGACGCTACGAAGACGAAAAATGGAAATGGCGACCGACCCGGAGATTATGTTCGATAAACAACATAAAAAGATTATCGTCGTTTGAGTGCGAAGCGCGTGCGCGGTGCCTATGGAGGTAGATGTGTAATTTCCATTTTCCTGGGCATAAGTACAAATGGAGTGTACCGACTACCGGTGCAACGGGCTCCTTACGTGTCCGTATTCTGTGCGATTTTTGATCATAATTTTCTAGTTGTTCGCCAAATTCGAAAAAAAAACAAAAATAACGATGTAAAACACAGCTGTTGAGGCAATTAGGGCGCTAAATGTCGTGAGAAAACGATTATTTACTATTATTAGGTAAATACCGTCGATCTGGATGACGACTTTAAGCGGTTTCATTTTTTATTAGTCATAGCAGTAAATATATTATGCTACCGAAATCTTAAGTAGTAAGCGAACCGTTCTCGGTTTACAATTTCCTTTGTTTGTTTGTGGTTCAATACCTATAATCTTACCAATCGGTCGATTTGCCTTGACAAATACGAAAAAAAAATAATAATAATCCATCATTAAAATGTTCTTAATTTTATAATCTCTTTCGTAAGTGTTCCAGATTTATAAGTAGAACATCAAATTGGAATGTTTGTATATTTTTCATATTGTAGGTATCGGACAGTATAGTTTAAAAGAATATTTATTTAATCATGAAATAATTAAAACGCCTTTTTTCGATTTTAAAAAATTTGCAATAATACGGAGTGATGAACGCAGCGAGTAAAAAGAAAAAGCTTTGACGCTTATTATTTAAAATAATTTAAAAAATTACAATGCTATTAAATAGGTAGGTACATAATTATACCATAATAAGTGGCTACCTAATAAATAATAATAATAATATAGTTTATCCAGCTCGCAGCTAAGTAAAAAAAAAGGGAGTTGCCACTAATGTATATTATAATAAACAGTAGTTGTACCATTGAAAAATAGTGAAAATTTGTGCTAATCCGCTCTACAGCCAAACGGCTGAACACATAACCTACCTATTAGCAATCTATTTATCTATCTCTTAATAATATTAATATTATAATATATTATATTGTTATAATTTCATGCATTTTGAATTTTCGTCTGACGATAATTGCAGCTTTAAATGACAAAAAACACGATCGGCAGATAGGCGTGACAATTAAAACCTAGTAATACGGAACGATGAACGCAGCGAGTAAAAAAAGCTTTGTCTCTTATTATACAAAATAGTATTAAAAAGGTGGGTAAGTGAATGTCGATCTGCTGTACAGTAGGTTACAAGTGGGTGGTGGGTCACTGTAATAGTTGGTGTTGAATTTGAATTCAATGATATAATATCAGTACCTATCAGAAAAACGATTCTGATCGAAAACGTCAGTCAGCCTTTTGATGATATTAAGGTGACTAAAGTAATTTATATACAACCTATTTAAAGCAATCGCCAAGCTAAGTTCGATTATTTAGCAGACTATTTCAACATAAATGATATCTATAGTTCAAGTACTTTGCAAAACAAATATCGCTACTTTTAGAGTCTTTTTAAATTTCAAAAAATTGTGTACCTACGTCCTACGGTAAAAAAAAAATATCTTTGCTAGGATTTCATATTTTATGTAATATTTTATAATATTTACTGTGTATTTGATGACATACGACCTACATAACTATATAAACTTCCCGGAATTTTATTCCATACGAATTTTTTTCGCGACATAAGGTAAAATATAGATACTAATAAATAATAATTTCCATATATATTATACTTGAAAATGTTTCCAAAATTTAATATGTAGGCATTATTTTTTATCTTTATTGAAAAGAGCACATACTATTACATTATATTAAGAAGACGCTACACGGACACTTGTTGTCTCCGTCTTACAAGTGCGTAACATAGCAAATTTTACGCTCGGAAAATCGTGTTTAACTCCGTTGGTTTAAAAATTAGAGTGAATTGATCTCTTATGAAATGTAAAGGTAAGTTTATAATCGAGGACATATCAAAGGATTTTTATTACATTTTAATTTTTAAAGCTAGTTATGAGTATTTTGAGATGTACAAATAATTAATAGTTTTAAAATACTCATAACTCGCTTTAAAAATTAAAATGTAACGAAAATCCTTTGATATATCTTCAATTGTGAACTTAACTTTATATTTCATAAGAGGTCAATTCACTCTAATTTTTAAACCAACGGAGTTAAAAGCGATTTTCCGAGCGTAAAATGTACTATGTTACGCACTTATAAGACGGAGATAACAACAAATGTCCGTGTAGCGATTTAGTGTTTTTAGAAAATTATTTAATATACGTATTCAAAATATTATAAAAAAAATTTGATTAATAATACACTAAGATAATTTACATTGCACTACCTCAATAATAAATTAAATAAATTAATAATCATAATATAAAACAAAAAAAGGAAATAATAATCATGTTATAATCAAATTGAATTATTAATTTGGGTGGTTGCAATTCAAAAATCATTATAATATTATTTAGTCCTTTATGCATTAAAAAAAAAAACCACTAATGGTTTCTAAGTTCCCAACTGAGTTATTTAGATTTAAATTATGATCATACTGTAAGTGTTGATAACCACACCAATATATATTATACGACTCATTACTCCTTATTCCAATCATTAAATAATTATTATTAATTATTATGGCCCATCACCTATACGGCAATATAATGCAGGTGAATAGTAAGTTTCTACATGAGTAAAAAGTAAAAAATGACATACATTAATTCCTACGAATGCAATGTATTAATTTCACACCCATCTACACAAAATTGTTATCAACAATACATCTATATATTTAAAAAATTATTGAAATTCTCAAACTTTTTCAAGTAAATAAATACATCAAAATAAGAACCACAAATAGTAATACAAAAACAAAATATACATAAATAGAAAAAGTTATATATTTTAACAACTTTTTAAATTCCAAAAAAAATATATCATGAAGTAAAAAACATTTTTTTCACAATTATTTATTTATAATGTATTGTTATAGCGCCTGCTTGACTATACATTTAAATATTAAATAATATTTTAAAGTATTTAAATAAGAATTTTGCATTGCTTTGTTCAGGTATAATATTGATGTTTTAAAAATTATAAAAAAATTGTGTGCCATTAACTGTTAAATGATAAGTAGATGAAATTTACATCTTAACCAAGAAAAAGTTTTCTACTGTCAAATGTAGGAAAATGCTATTTTCTTTTCGAAATAAACTACAAATTGTTAATTACATTTGAGTTTAAACTATACAATTTTCATTTTTAAATTCTTATTTAAATGGATGTAAGCGAGTTATTAGTATTTCAAGATATACAAACAATTTAAAATTTTGAAACACTCATAACTCACTTTAAAAATAAAATATAATAAAAAGTTTGGCTTAGACAATAATCTTAACTTTAAATTTTACAAGAGGAAATTGCCCTCTAATTTTAGAAGTTATTATTATTATTGTTATAATCATTAATGTAAACATACAATTTGCTATGTTGTGCGTGGGTCAGAGAGAGAAAACAAGGTGTGCTGACGTCCAAGCCTTAATCTGCAATATGTATATACAGGAGGGAAGGATAACCAAATACATATTTTCCAGGAAAAAAAAAATATATAAAATACCAATTAGCATCATATTTCTCTGGTCTAAATGATTTTCCAAAAAGCTCAAATGAACATCAACATATTTTCAGATTATTTAGATGGTATATGTTAAGCAGTTAGCTCTCTATGAACGAGCAAATAACATAAATACATTTCCATGTTGTACTTATAGTTATAGATATAATTAAATTAATATTTTAAGAATGACGTTTTAAATAAACATAGAAGGATTTGAAATTTGACATTCTTATGTTTTCAAAAATATTATTATTTCCTTATATAACATATTTTCCACAAAAAGTAGTACACAATACCTATAAACATTTAACAATTAATAAAACTAATCAGTACTTATAATATTAACTTAACATTTAAAGAGAATAATTAACAAATATCAATACAATCAGTCAATAGCTCATGTATTTTATATCTAAAAATTTTTACTCTGATATAATTAAATCTAAATACTTAACACTAATATTTTATTATTTACAAATAATAGGTACTAACCAAAAGTTACATTAGGGAATTTTTTAGTTAAATGATTATAAGTTATACGATGTATTTCCCCATCAATAGAATTCATATGCTGTTGAGTGAAGTTGAACGCTGCTTCTCTAGATAAATACTCGGCAAAAGTGCAGACAAACACCTCGCAGTCCTTCCCGTTATTCTGAACGGGGTACAACCTTTTACAAACTTCCAGTCATCTGCCGGGAAGGATTTACCCAGTTTTTGTTCATGTTCGATCCCTAAGTATTCCATTATCGCAATATGAATTTTATAATTGTAATGACGATTAAGGCTGTCGTAGTAAACGAGTTCTTGGTTCACCATGTCTGCCACCACTATTATCCAGTGAGCAAATGGGCCTTCTACAATGTTGATTGGAAAAAAGACTTTCCTTTTGGAAAAAATGTCAACATTTTTTGTCCAATGCTTTATGCCTTCGTATTTAGTTTTTGAATTCCGCTCATAAAAAAAGGTATCAAAGGAATGTACACTCGGATTTTCTTTTTTGATCAATGTAAAATAATCGTTGAGAACATGATCATTCAATAACCAGACTCTTTGTGAAGCCACTTGTCGACCAACTAAAATCATAATATATAATTATTAGACACACAATTTAATTGTACTTGTTTTATACTTGTTAAAATTAATAGTTTCTAGTTCGTTCTTACGGAATAAAAAATAGACCCCCTGCAATAGTTACCTAGTAATAGTCACACATTTTAAAGTAAGTAACTTGGTTATATCTTACATTTCTAACTTATAACAAGATTCCATAATTTTCAAGTGGCATGACATTGAAATATAACTGGTTTCAACATGGGTTGTAACTTTTTATAATGTTTTTATATTACGTGTTTAATTCTCTAGGTAATATAAATTATATTAACTCAACAAGATATTTTAATCAGGCAAGGGTTATTGAGGAAAACAGATTTTTAGGCAAAACAAGTTTTTGACAAAACAGATTCAGTTTTCTTGGTATAACACAAAAACTTATAATTGTAGATACTTTAATTTTTATCAAAATCTTTGTATGTCAATTTTCCATACATAATAACATTTTCAAAATATTTGGACACTTTTTCAGCTATTTATAGGCAAAATAAATGTTTATTCATTTATTTATTGTCAATATATTTCACGTTTTAAAAAAAGATTATAGATGTCAACCAATAATATTTTTTGTTAAACATTGTTAAAAATATTTTAATAAGAGAAATTAACGAATTTTAATATATAATAATCAATAAATAAAAATAGGTTTCAACAAAACATTGATTTTTTAAACTTGTCAATACTACTTCCTAGATTTTTTTTTAATTAACTTGTATTTATACTCATATATAGTGTACATAATTACAAATCCATTGAGAAATCCACACTTCAACAATATTAACACACGACATGCCTATTGTAAGTTTTGAATTATAAAAATAAGTTTTTTTTTATATGAATTGTTTACCTCAATTTGAAGGTAGGTAATATCAACCCATGTATTTTTATTCATTTGAAATAGCTAAACATAATATTTTTCAATAATGTTCTCAATTTTTTTTTACTCAGAAAGATCTGGAATATATATTTTAATTTTGTATTAACCATTATATTTATATTAGTAGTACATGAACTTAATTTACAATTATTCATTGTTCTAGAGCCCATATTATTATTACAAACTTTTTATGCACTATTTTTATCAGCCTAAAGTCCTTTTGTCTAAAATCTAAATGATTGTACCGAAATGGTAACAGACTTTTATAGCTTACAAATTATGAATATAAACTAGAAGAGTATTTACATTGACTAAAATAAATGTTTCCTGCAAACAAATTATCATTATATAAACATAAAACCAATTATAAAATGTATACCTTGGGTCTTGAATATTTGAATAAATTAAAAAGTGTCGATGGTTAATTGGCTCCTGATAATACAATAGCACACCTAAAAAAAAAAAAATCATCCAAAAGTTATGTAATACATGATATAAACATATAAATACAAATTACTTACAATGCGATTCAGGCAATATAATAACTGAACTTATATATATGCATATTTCTTAATGTAGGCCACTAAAATATCTTTTTAAATAAAATCAGAAATTTTTAACTCATCTTAAGAAATTTATAGATATTTTCAAATTTCAATTTTGTTAGTTTTTCTTTTCTATAAATATCAATTAACATTTTTCATTGAGTTAAAAGTTGTAGCATGTGTAAGTGATAAGATTTTAAGAGGACGCCACACCCGCATGTGTTGTTTCTGTCTTAAAAACGCGTAACATACTCTCTTTAGTTCACGTTTTATGCCCTTGGCTTAAAAGTTAGAGTGAATCGACCTATTATGAAACTATTGAAACTTGATGGTAAGAACATTCTCTGTGTTTTCTTAGAAGGTTTTTACGATGATTCAGTTTTTAAGTGAGTTATGAGCATTTTCAATTTACATTTATTACACACGCATAACTCACTTAAAATCTGAATCATCGTAAAAAATTTCCAACAAAATACAGATAATGTTCTTACCATCAAGTTTCATTATAGGTCGAACCATTCCATTGCATAAAACGTGAACTGCTGAGCATAAATTTGGTATGATACGCGTTTGTACGAAGGAGGCAACGCATGCCCCACTGTGCAATGGTCCGTTTCAAATACATCAAATTGATGTAGCATTGGAACCAAGGTCCAATAATACATCACAAAACCATTTTAATGGAATATTTAATAAACAATATTTTTTACTGATTTCGTTATATATTTTTGAAACGTAGAAAAAATGTTTCTTGTTTCTGAACCAATGCTTTAAACAGTAATGTAAAATAAATGATTTTAAATTTTATCACAGTTCTGTTACTGTTAAATATAAAATAAATATTACAGCATTAACACAAATATCTGATTTGTCATGCATGCATATTTTTCAATAAAATTTTCATTTTTTTTTTTAATTATTACATTTTATATGAATTAGTTTGGCACCATATATGACTGGTATCTTATACCTCTTATTAATTATTATGTTATATGAATATACAATATCCATGATTAAACAGTTGCGGAATACTTAGCTTGATAAAGCATTAAAACATTTAATAAATATAAACTCTGAAGCTTCAAGGAAATAGAAATTGAAATTGAATTTATTATTTAAAAATTATATTTATAACTAGGTACATAATATTATATTATATTTCATAGAAATAATTAATAAAAAAAAAAAATATATAAATCAAATAACATATTATAATGACCAATACAATTTATTAAATGATAATACTATCTAGCTTTATATGAATATATCAATAAAAAAAAATAACATACAAAAAATGTTTTTAAAATTACATACATTTTTTTGGGAATACTTGAGAATTTTATTGAAATGTATTGTGGCATAAAGTTGTAAAAATAGCTTCGTTTGCTGAAATGGGTATCTTGTAAAATTTATACATAATATCAGTGTGAGAGATTTCATATAGATCTGAATAATAATTTGTTTTAACTAAAAATGTACCCAATATATTTGAGCTTATAAGTATTTTAAAATACGGGATATGGTTAAAAAATTTAGAAACATGTAGCTTTATACTTTTAGTTGACTAAAATTTATAAATGTGTTTTACCTCCACAATGTCATTATTGGATAAAATAAAACATTGATCCTTTAATGAGTTTATATTGATCAAAAAACAATTAAATAATATCATTTTTGCATATGATTTATAAATAGGATAACTGCTATCAGAAATTTCTTTAAAAAGTAAAGGATATTGTACATGATTATTTGTTTCATTATCTGAAAGTAATACACTTTGTTTTTCTTTTATACGATTATATAATTCTTGCAGAGGATATCTAGAACACTTTATATATTTTTTAACTCTTGCAAATAATTTTCAAACTGAAATGCACTATAATTTTCAAGGGACCCATGACATCTTACACATTCTGGTAAATGAATTAATGTATGTACATTATATGTATTGAAAGTATAACCATATATTTTTGAAGAGTCGTTTATAAATGTAAATAGAAATTCTTTTGCTAAATTATTATATAGTTGACATGTATTTTCTGTAATTAATATTTTAATAGCTGAATGAAGAAGCATAAAATAAGAGTACTGCCATTTACTCAATCGATTTTTCAAAACTATAGGGTCTGAATATAATAAAAAAGAGCGAAATTCTGTGGCTCTCCAAAATTCTATAGTATTCAAACTTCTCGGTAATCTACAAAATTCAGAAGGGACAAATGGTTTTAAATTTTTTAAATCACAAGAGATAATTTCTTGATCTCTATCTGTTAATCTTACATCTTTTTTACCTTTAACCCAAAATTGTAATACTCGTTTCATTACACCAAGACAGACATTGTGCATATAATCTATTACAAAAACATTACAGATATCAATAGGAAGTTCTTCAAACGGACTAAGTCCTTAATGATAAACATATTCCCTACTGGAATTACAATTTTTTGAAGCTCAGGAACTGTTATAGTTGATAGTAAAATAGGCCATACATTGCTCTTTGAAGATTTTGACAATAGCAGTCCATCAATAATTAAACTTAATTTAAGAATTTTTAAATCTTTTATAAATTTAAAATGTTTAATAAGAATTGGAAATACCATATCATCAAACCCTAAATGGATATAAGACCCATTTTGTATAGGTGTTTGTAAATGGGTTTTAGGAGTTCTAAGAACAGTTCTTATATCTTTTGGTACGTTAATTTGTTGAGATCTTAAAATATTTAACATACTATTGGCACAGTTATGTGTGACGTTCAATTTAACAGCTCAATTCAGTACCTGTTCAATAACTGAAGTTTGATTTGTGTTGGGCTGATGTTCATAAGTTGAACATAATTCTAAAGTATTTTCGATGTCATTTGGTAGATTTGATTGAAAGATGCTATTGTCAACTTGATCTGGTACATAAGCTTCAACATTTATATTTTCAATAAGGTCATTCTAAGGATGAAGTTGTACATCAGAATGTTTTGGTAATTTTGATGAAATTTCTTAAAAGACGGCGTCCAAATTGTCGTTTTGAAAGTAATCCAATTTCTTTAACGCGTCTTTATAGAATGTTTTATAATCTGAAATTTTAAATTAATATATTATATTATTAATTAAAATAATAAATAATAAATACACAAATATAATTTAATTAGTGAGTTGTTGTACAGTGTTATTGTTACTATTATTATAAGAACCTTACAATTTTTTTTTTAAATAAGTTTATAATTTTTGAAATGATAAGTGTTCTTTGATAAAAGAATCATTCAACTTATGTTATACATAGTAATAATACCAATAAGAAATAATCATATCATTAAAAAAAAAAATTAATTTTAAATAACTATACAGCTAGATGAGTTATAACCTTTTAGAATCATTATGTTGTTTTTTTAGCACGATCAAACCGTGTTTTAGAAGTCCTAAACCAATCCTGAACTACCTTTTCAAATTCTATGTCTGTGCATTTCTGTTTTATTTTTATTACTTCTAAACACAAAACAAAATTAAATGTTAACAGAAAAATATATTAGTACTTTTTACTAATTTCAAAGTACCTTT